CAGAGAGACAGAAAGTGAGAAATCACCCCCCAGGGGGGATGGTCATGCCACAATCCCTTCTCCTCCATTCTCCTCTCAGGATCTTGGGCACTCACGCATACACGCCCGGCATGTGTTTTAAGCCACCGGGTCTGGGACGCAAACCACGATCGACTACGTGGTAGTCCAGTGACATAGCCATTACGCTAAATGCTGGTCCCAGTTCCCACCCTTTTGATATGCATAGTAATCATAGGAAGGTTATCATGGCTATTCAAAAAATTAAGTTGAAATTAACTTTCTGGCACACACAACTCAAGTCTATCTAGTCTGAAGATTTTCTTAACATTTTTACTAGCTTTCTTTATTGTAAGAATATAGTATTATAATACATGTATCATATAAAATATGTGTTATTGACTGTTGATATTATTTATAATATCAGGTCAACAGTAGGCTAGTAGTAGTTAAGTTTTGGGAGCGAGATTTTCATCTGTGTGGAAAGTTGGTGCATTGTTCAAGGGTCACTTGTACATGATCATGTCATCAGCAAACAAAGATAGTTTCATTTTCTCCTTTTTTATTGGATGTCTTTTATTTATTCTCTTGCCTAGTTGCTCTGGCAAGCACTTCCACTACTATGTTGAATAGAAGTGGTGAAAGTGGGCAACCTTGTCTTGTTAAAACTCTTACAGGAAAGGTTTCTGGTTTTCAGCTTGTATGTACTATAAAATTACTGTGGGCTTCTTATATGTTGCCTTTATTATGTTGAGGTACATTCCTTCTACGCCTAATTTGCTGAGAGTTGTTATTGTGGAAGTATGTTAAATTTTGTCAAATCCTTTCTCTACATCTAATGAGATCATAATATGATTTCTGTTCTTCATTTTGTTGATATGATGTTTCACATTTATTAATTTGTACATGTTGAACCATTCTTGCATTTCAGAGATAAATTTCACTTTTAATGTGTCATTTAATTGTTATGCTAGTATTTTATTGAGGATTTGCATTTATGTTTATCAAGGATATTGGCCTGTAATTCTCTATTCTTGTAAAAAAAAAAAAAGAAAAAAAAAGAAAAAAAACCTATTAGTTATTATTATTTTCCCTATTATTGTTTTGTTTTGTTTTTTTGGAAGAGGTTTTTGCTATAGGGCGTGTGTACTCGCCAGAAAGACAGAGAGAGACAGAGAGACAGAAAGCGAGAAATCCCCCCCCCCCCGAGGGGATGGCCACACTGCAGTCTCTTCTCTTCCTTTCTCTTCTTTGGATCTTGGGCATGCACGCACATGCGCCCGGTGTGAGTTTAAGCCACTGGGTCTGGGACTCGAACTGTGGTCGACTATATGGCGACATAGCCATTATGCTAACTGCTGGTCCTCCTATTATTGTTTTGTTTTTCTAATTAATATATATCTGGCTTCTTTCATATACTGTCACTTAAACTTGTAATAGCCTCTCTTGTTTATCTATCCGGCTGGCGCCTGTTTTTGTCTGTAAGTCTCAGGTCAAGCACTTTTCCTCTGTGAAGGCTCTCTTGACTTCCTTCAAACCTCACTGAATGAATACCTTCTCATTATGTCACCTAACATATTGTCTGGTCATACAAGTGATAGTCTGTATTTTTCTTCAAGGAAGGGAATATATCTTCTTGATTTTTTTTTTCTTTTTGGAGAAGTTTTTCCTATAGGTCGCGTGTGCTCGCCAGACAGACAGAGACAGAGAGACAGAAAGCGAGAAATCACCCCCCAGGGGGGGATGGCCACGCTGCAATCCCTTCTCCTCCATTCTCCTCTCGGGATCTTGGGCATGCACACACACGCGCCTGCCGTGAGTTTAAGCCACTGGGTCCAGGACTCGAACCGCGGTCGACTACGTGAGAGTCCAGCGACATAGCCATTACACTAACTGCTGGTCCCTATATCTTCTTGACTTTTAATCCCCTAGCACCTAGTCCAATGCTGAGCTCATAGTTTTTTATTCTTGGAGAGATTTTTTGCAAAAGGGCACATGTGTTTGCTGGAGAGACAAACAGAAAATGATAAATCACCCCCCTTTCTCCTTCTTTTTCCTCTTGTAATTTTGGGCACACATGCACATATATCTGGCATGAATTTCAAGCATCCTGGTTCAGGATTCGAACCGTGGAGTATTTAGTTTATAATTCAACAAATGTTTTTTTCTTTGCTAGAGGGTGGGTATGTGGGCCTGAGGGAGACAGAGACAGCAAGAGAGGGACAGAATAAAGCACCCCTTCACACCCCCACACACATTGATAATGGTCACTCCACAATCCCTTCTTCATTCTCTCCTCCTTTGGGATTTTGGGCATGCATGTGCATACATCAGGCATGTTTCTCAAGGTACTGGGTCCAGGACTTGTACTACAGGATTGGCCATGTGGAAACTGCCTCCCCTAACCACCAGGCCACAGAGCTGGCTCTCAACAAATATTAAAGACCTAAGCATGCCATAGTTTATGCTAGGGATTGATGGTGCAGAGATGAACAAGACGTGACCAATGAGCTAGAAGTCTGCTGGAAATACAGATGATGTGCATTTAAAAATTTATCACCAAATTTTATATTTAAGAATGCATAAGACCCCAGTGAAATTTGGACATATACTTAACATATACCTACTTAACAAGGCCAAGTTTCAAACCATTAAGCTAAAGGACATACTAGAATTTCACAGTTTATCACATTTAGTTAACATGGTGTGAGGTCCCTGTGGCAAGGGTTGTATATCTTAGTATCTTTATTCATTTGAGGTACTTGGCATTCATTGTTTGTCACAGGTAAGTATTAATAAGATTAATAAGATTCATAATTATTTGGAATGGCATGATGGCTATTGACTCTATGATTGCACAAAATTTCAAAAAAAAAAATTATTCAATGTACTTAGCCCTGTAGCTGTGACTGAAAAACTCAGTTGCTTATGGAAATCATAATTAGTACGAGGGAAATGTGCAAATGTTAGCATGATATACTGGCTTTACTTATGTCTTCACAATGTGTTTCTTCTTTCTTAAAGGAAATTTTGAAGGCTGGAGATACAAATCTTGATTCAGGATTGGACTTTGAAGAATTTGTGCGGTATCTTCAAGACCATGAGAAAAAAATGAAGTTGGCATTTAAAAGTCTGGACAAAAATAATGATGGTATATATATGTGTGTGTGTGTGTGTGTGTGTGTGTGTGTGTGTTTTGTTCACAGTAAGCTTAACATGAATAATTCAATACTGAAGGGTACTTTAACTAGCCTACAATTTTCTCAAAAGTTCAATTATGTCTACTAGTTGGTTAGTAGTAATTTTTAAATTTCTAAAAATAATACATAAGCTATACTTATTAGTATTATAATTCCTATGTGTTTAGCATTTGTTTAATAAAATGACTGTTGAGGAAGGTCGTGCATTCTAAATTTAAACCTTCTTTACTTAGCAAGTAGGTCTTTCTGTTTTTGTTTGTTTTGCAATTTATGAGCTGAAAGTATCATGACAATTTAAGAAATGGTATTTATTTTTTTCTTGATTATAAAAGTATATCGGGTTCAGAAAATTAGGTAGCAGAAAAGATACTCAAAGAAAGTGAAAAGTTACTTGTAACCCTACCTAGATATCAATTTTAACATTTTGGGTATATTTTTAAATTTTCTTCTAGACTTTTTGTCTGTATTTTTCTTGGTTTCTTTCTTCGCTTCTCTAATTCCTATCACGCTATATGTACAGTTCTTTTTTTTAATGTTATATCATAAGCATTTTCACTTCATTTAGTATTCTTCTAAACAATTTTTTTTATGTCCATGAAATACTCCATTTAAGTATGATTTAGTCATTCCATATTGTTAGATATTTAGGTACTTCCAATCTTTTACTCTTATGAATAGTGCTACAATCCATATCTATCCTGATTTGCAGAGGAAAAGTATACTCTTACAAATCTTTAAATCAGTGAGATTAAATCCAAAAATAGAGTATGACTTCTGTATCCATATGTAACTAAACATCAATGGATAATCAGAACTTAATTATGTGATATTTAAGAAGCATGTATATTGGGTTGTCAGAAAAGTCAGAAAAAAATACACATGACTTTTTTTGACAACCCAATATTTTTAAGTTGTATAAAATCTTTTTCTTGAGAGGTTTTTGCTATAGGGCACGTGCGCTCGCTAGAAAGACAGAGACAGACAGAAAGTGAGAAATCACTTTGCCATGCCGCAACCCCTTCTCCTCTATTCTCCCCTCGGGATCTTGGGCATGCGTGCACATGCTCCCAGTGTGAGTTTAAGCCACCGGGTCCAAGACTCAAGCTGCGGTAGACTACATGGGAGTTCAGTGACATAGCCATTACACCAACTGCTGTCCTATAAAATCTAATTTTTTGGTGACTAAAAAATTCCAAGTATATCTGAAAACTTATATAAATGATTCTACTGATGGATTCTTGGGCGAAACAAAGTGTTACCTCGGTGTCTCAGACTTTAGCAGCCAGTGAGTACAGAAGTAATCACATTTCCCTTAATACCCAAATCTCAGCATTCCAAGTTCCCATTCACTGTCTAGGAGGAAGTCAGGGCTTTCCGGGCCCTCTTACTGAACTTATACTCAAAAACTTTAGAAGTATTGGGAACCAGCAGTTAGCGTAATGGCTATGTTGCTGGACTCCCATGTAGTTGACCATGGTTCATGTCCCGACCCGGTGGCTGAAAACTCACAGCGAGCACATGTGCTTGCATGCCCAAGATCCCGAGAGGAGAATGGAGGAGAAGGGATTGCGGCGTGACCATCCCCCCTGGGGGGTGTTTCTTGCTTTCTGTCTTTCTGTCTCTCTGTCTCTCTCTGTCTGTCTGGCGAGCGCACGCGCCCTATAGCGAAAACCTCTCCAAAAAATAAATAAATAAATAAATAAAACTTTAGAAGTATTAACAAACATCTGATAGTTAAACTTGGTCAGCATTTGCCGCTTCTCTAGGATTGGTACTAGGTTGTGTATCCCTTATCTGAAATGCTTGGGACCAGAAGTGCTTTAGGTTTTCAACTTTTTCTGATTTTGGAATTTTTACATATGTATAATGGGGTATCTTGAGGATGGGATACAATTCTAAATGCAAAATCAGGTTTTTTTTTTTTGTATATACATAAAGGTTATTTTACACAGTACTTTGATATTGCAGTGTTTTGACTGTAACTCATCATGTGAGGTCAGCTGAGGAATTTTCCACATGTGGTGTCCTATCAGTACTCAAGAAGTTTCAGTTTTGGAGCATTTCAGATTTCAGATTTTGCTTTCATGATGCTCAACCTGTAGTTTACTCTAGAGCTGTCTGGAATGTTACTGTTACTGATTGTTGCCACCATAATCATAATTTGCAAAGCTGAAAAGCCATAGATAATCACTGAAATTAGAATGCTATTAATGGGACCAGCAGTTAGCATAATGGCTATGTCACTGGACTCCCACATAGTAGACCGCGGTTCGAGTCCCGGACTTGGTGGCTTGAACTCATGCTGGGCACGTGTGTGTGTATGCCCAAGATCCTGAGAGAACGGAGGAGAAGGGATTGTGGCATGGCCATCCCCCCTGGGGAGTGATTTCTTGCTTTCTGTCTTTCTGTCTCTCTCTGTCTTTCTGGCAAGCATGTGCGCCCTGTAGCAAAAACCTTTCCAAAAAAAGAAAAAACAAAAAGAATGCTATTAGTAAAAATGTAATGTTACTATTATTCTGTTTAAAACTGCCAATTAGTTCTTGCAGATTGTGGTAATGGAGAATATTTTTCCTGAGCAAGTAAGTTCCACAGCAAGAAGGAAATCCCAAAATGATATAGTGGTAAAGCATGATAGCTTGTTTGATTTCTGCCTTGATAAGTCAAGCTGGAACATCACAGCTCAGCCTCGAAAGTTCTGTGGAATTACTTTTAGGAAAAATGACCGTCCCTATTCTCACTGGTTTCATCGATTCTGAGCATTTGTGCCGTAACTGTAGGTAGAGTTGAATCTCTACTGCTGGTGGCACGGCTGCTGCCCACCTTGTCTGCAGAACTGAGGTCTGTGGCCTCTGGAGCAGATATGCTGCTCTGATTGAGCTCTCTGCTCTCTGCCGTGCTCTCTGCGCTGCTGCTGGTGCTTTGGTTAGCATGGTTCTGTGGAGCTTAACTTATCTTGGCCAGGATGCTTTCTGAAAATCAGAAAAATACCTTATCTGTTACGGGCTGAATTGTGCCCCCTCAAAAAATGATAGGTTGAAGTCCTAATTCCCAGTGTCTCAGAGTCTGACCTTATTTGGAAATAGGATCTTTACAGAGATAATCAAGTTAAAATGAAATCATTAGGGTGGGCTCTAATCCATTATGTCTGGCGTCCATATAAAGAGGAAATCTGGACACAGAAACAGATACTCGAAGAGGAAGGGGATTTGAAGACTGCCATGCGATGACAGAGTTGAACAGGAATGATACAATTACATGCTGAAGAACACCTGCAGCTACCAGAAGCCAGGAGAGAGGCATGGAACAGATCCTTCCCTAGGGTCTTGAGAGGGAAGAAACACGGCTCTTCTGACACGATTTCAGACTTCTGATTTCCAGAACCATGAGACAAATTCCTATTGTTTCATGCTGCATAGTTTGTATTACTTTGTCATGGCAACCCGAGGAAATTAATGTTTTTTTTTTGTGTGTGTGTGTGTCATGCTTAATCAAAAGTTGTGTGATACTAGACTATTTTAAGCTTTTCCAGTTCATATGTACATGCCACCACTTTTCCCCATCATGTACAAGTGCTTCTGAACCAGGGTAGTTTCTGGCATCTGTTGCCTCGTTGATTCTGTTACCTGCAGTCCCATTAGTGCACAAGATCTTTCCACTCTGGTCCTTCTCAACATCATTGTTATTCTTAGATTCTCCTAATTCCATCCCATGTGTTAAACGTGAATAGTAGAGAAGCTTCTATTTTTATTACCTCCTGCTCACACCCTAGGAGGCTTTCCAGGCCTTATGCAGTGAATTCCAAGGGCAGGTGGATGCACATGGGCCAGTGTACTTTCAAACTCATCACCAGGAAGCACTCAATGTGAAGTGATCAGCCCCAGTTGATGCGATCTGTTTAACTTCTCACCAAGAAGTATCGGAGACCCTCTCTGTTGAGTCAAATGTCTGTGGACTGCTATTGAAAATATGAAAAAAGTAATTATTAAATGTAATTTCATTGTTAGGTTCTTTGTAGAATGAGAAATTTTTGGATATTGAAGAAATGGAAGGAAAGGAACTAACATTTATTGTATTCTTCCTATCTGCCATGTCTGTTTAGCTACTTCACCTCTGTATCTTATTTTTATCTCACAAAATCCTCACAGGAGCTACATTTTATAGTTGAGGACACTAAGGCTTAGGAAGGTTAAGTAATTTTGCTTGTGTAGCCCTTTCCCACGTTGACTTAGGTTTGACCATTGACTTGCTTCAGCCCTTGGGACATTAGCAAGACTCGATAATTATTTGTACCTTGGGGCTTTTCTTCTTGAATGCACTGAACCACCAGAAAAGAAGTCTAGCTACCCAGGTGGAGAGACTGCATAGAGTGAGACACCTGTTAGTCTCCAACTGTCCCCCATTCTTTTCTGAGCGACAGACATGTGACTGAAACCATCTTGGCCAGCTGCAGGTGAGCATCCAGATGATTGCATTCATGTGAAGACCCAGGAAAGACCAACGAATGAACCAACCAGGCGACTGAAGCTCAGATTGCATACTCTAAATAAAATACATTTTAAAACCATTAAATTTTAAGATTCTTTGTAACTTATCAATAAATTACTGATACACTGTGGAATATTTTACAGTTATTCCTAGGATTATGATGCTGAAATGGTTGCAGTCCTCTTCATTCATCTAAATACTGTAATACCATTGAACCCATTTTTTTAAAAATAATTTTTTATTTTACTTTTTATTTATTCATTCATTGATTTTTTAATTTGACCAGAGAGAGACAGAGGGTGAGAGTGAGAGAGAGAGGAAGTGAGAAAACAAGCCACCAGATTCAGGACTCGAACCCAGGTCGGCCATGTGGGAGTGTCCAGTGCCTTAACCACCACGCCACCTGCTGGTCCCCCATTGAACCCATTTTAAGAGCATCTTTTTAGTGAAAATTTTGTGTATATAATTAAAGACAGCAAC